CACATTACTTTGTTAGAGTCCCAGTTCATGAGTTTGAAAGATAGTTCTCTGAACTACAAGCGACTTCACACTCTGAAAGTTAAGCTCTTGCTTATTCCACTGCAGACTTCTAACCCAATGTTGTACAAATAACTTCACCACCACAGCTCGTAATGGAGAATTGGTGACTGATTTTAAATGAATTTCAGATTCTGTGTTTCTCCGGCACAGACCAGCCTAGGTCCATGCCATTGAATTGTCTCCTTCCAAAATTCAGACTGTGTGCAGATGACACTTTTTCAAAAACCACAACAAGGAACATGTGCATAATTTTACAGTATATCTGATTGAGTTCCTGAGTTTGGGACTTCTTCGGTTCTATTTAAGCTTTATATATATTAAACATAAATAGAATTTGTGTAAATATTATATAGGTAGCCTAAAACAGAACAAAAATACTGCACTATACATGGCATATCTTTTTAGGTTATCAGTAAAGCATGTAACCATCTCCTGATTCGAGCAGGTGTTTATTTCACAAGAAAGTATTCTTTATGTGGTTCAGCTGCCAAAAGATCTTAGGCTACATGTTTTACTGCAGTAAGAGGTATGGCTAAGCATAATGTAACAGTGTTCAGAGAATATCCGACCAGAAACTGAAGGCAGAGTATGAAGAAAGGCAAGAGCTGCTCCGCATGCCCAGTTCCACTCTCTGTTACTGGACGGTGCATACAGCACCCTTCTCAGCACTCATTACCTAAAAAATTCGGCTATAAATCTGCCTTTTATTTGTTTTTATTTAGTCATTTCTGGTAAATTGAATAGCTCTTGCAGCAAGACTCATAGCTTCCACAGTGGTATCCAGTATCTAAACAACAGCTAGAAGGGATGTTCTGCTTGCTGCCAGGACCAGAAAATCTGTAAGAAAATCTGTTGTGGTAAAGACGACCGTAACAAAAGCACCCACAACAAAACGAACCTTTAAGTACAGGTGCTAACGGAGATCCCGCTATCCTGTCCTGAAGGAAGGAACTAAGCCTCTGGGCTGTCAAGGTGATGACAACGGATGGCGGCTGAGCCATTGCCCGCAGGTCAGGGCAATGAGCTCACGGCAGCTATTGGCGCTGGTTCTGAACATTAATTGGTCGACTGGAAACATGACTAAGTGTAGGCGTAACACGGCACAAATTCCGCTGGAACAGGAAGAAAAGCTTGGATCTCATGGAAACAGGAAAGGCACGGCAGCCTGGATCCTCAGCAACACTAATTTAGTTCCAGATCCATCACACCTAACTGTAGCTACCTCACCAAGATCTACTTGCTGCTATGGATGTAATTCCTCAAATTTGTATAAACCCTGGAAGAAAAATGATTTTTAAGTGACGTTTAATCATTGCTCAATGGAAACAAAGGAATATAGAAGGTGACATGCTTCCTCAGACATGTGGTGGTTCTTATCCTATACCTTGTCTCTAACAAAAGTCCATTCCACACGGTCTAAAGTTTAACGTAAAAATCCTGATGCCATGCATTACTGAACGAACTGTCCAAAGGCTCACCTGATTCCTAACACCCTGGAGGCCCTTTTTGCTGTCAGTAAGGAAAAGTTTTGCCTACATCCCTTTCAAGCTTTGGCTTTCTTCCATACAAACTATTTGTATGAAGCAGCAGCTGGAGGACCAAGTAATTAACTATCAGGAGGACATATCCTCTGTTAAACATGGCTGCGACCGAGGCCTTTGCGGTGAGGAGTACAGAGCAGTTTGTAGGACTACAGGCTGGGGTTTTGGCGTCTCTTTAGCAGATTATAACTGTGAGATTTGAACTAGTGGAGAGCTGACAGCTCCTATACAATCCATTGTGGAAATTAACAGGTTAGCCCTTAAAACCTCCATATAACGTTGCCTCTTCATAAATGACAAAAGAGGACTAATTTAAATTTACAGAAAAAGAGCAGTCTGATTTCTAGAAAACATCTGGCTTTAGGAAGAAGGCAGCAAGAGAAGTAAATACAAGGCAGTTTTGAGGAGGGATTTTTTTATACACTTCCTCAAACTGCTTGAAGAACCTGAGACTTCCATTAACACCAGCCCGCATTTATCACGCATGGTTCACCTCGAAATGATGAAACAGTTTTGCTCAATATTTATATTTATTAGTTGATTCAAATTCTCATGCTGTGTGAAATGCAAATTACAAAACAAACATTTCTTTCATCTTAGCACTTAATTGGCAAGATTCATCCCTGGTAACGTTCCATTAAATACATTAGAATCACAGGAGGAATTATGCTGGCTTCATTCATTTACCTCTTCTTTTATTGGTTGACATAATGATGGTGGCTCAAATGTTACTCATAATTGTCATCTGCTTTAGTATGCAGGTTTTTTTCCCTTCTTCCTTACCTATGCTAGATAAAGTATAATTGATATAAAACATGGTGTCTTTCTTGTGAAATCAGCAACCCTGACATGAAGTTGGAAGCTTTCAAAACGTGAGAAGAGGCGCAGATGTTGCAGATCTTTCTGCTACAAACAGTGAAGGAGATGTGAATTAATACAACATCAGCACTGAAGGAGCTCATACACAAACTTCAACAAATAAATAAGAACCTAAACTATAAAAGAAAATCAACTGAAGCTCTAGTGTTAGAAATCATGAGCTGGTAAAGGGAACAGGAAGAATGCACTGGACCAGTATAATTTAATAAATGTATTTCAAAGTGCTGGGCTGTTTGAATCCAACCGCATACTTATATTACAATCATGAGATATCACTTCATGCGTAAACTACTAAGGAGGGTTTGGGGAGTGCTTAAAAACACACACAAAAAGAGTTTGAACACCCTTTGTGAATATTATTGCTCTTGTAATCCCCTAGGGACATCTCAAAGTCTGGACAAAAGACTCTCATAATTTAAGTATAACTTGTGGTAGAAATCTTACAGTGTTTATTTAACAAACAGTCAATCCATAGGCAAATGAGGATTTCTGAGGCTGGACCAGGCACTGTTTATTACACAGAATTTCAGAATATGACAATATGGGTGGGACACATCTCATCAAACCTTCCCTGTTTAAAGGCTGAGTGTTTCAGTTGAGTTTGTTGTTTGTCTCCATAGTCAATGAAAGAAAAATTGGTATGTTTTGAGGGTGATACCAATTCTGGTAAGGTAAGCATCTGAGACGGGATGAATTGTCTTGCAGAAATTCTTGTCCCTCCCTCCTAAGTATTGAGGAAGCCTGAGTAATTCCAAGTGACAAGTCACTTGGAATCTGGGCAGTCAAAATTGGGCTCTGCAACAGTATGCACTCTGCAGGTGATGCCCTGCTAGTCAGGAAAAAAAGAAGTGGAAAAAAAGAAATCCGTTGTTGCAATAAGTATTCCTGGGATGATTCCATTGCCTTTCCTGCCACTCACCCCGTAGGTCTGGGAAGGAAGCACTCAAAAATCATTTCTGTGACATCCTCCAGGAAAATTTTGGTTCCATTCCTTTGTAAGGTGAAGGAGTAGATCTAAGGGCAAATTGCACTCCATCATATGAACAAAAAGAAAGAGAAGATGTAGACTGAATGAATGCAGTGGTGGACAGAAACATATCATTTCACAAAGAAACTGAGAAATTTGCAACTGCTTCACCACTGTCTTGTGCTATGTCCTCCTTCAGAACCGTGCAATGTCAATACAGAGTAGCTAGTAACGATTAATCGGTTTGCATTTGCAGCCATTCTACGTTGTTGAACCTGCAAGATAATCTCTGTGTGTCTTTGCAGACACCAGGTGAAAAACAGGGGAAAAAATACTGATATCCCTTCAGAAAAAACTTCAGCCTTTGGTTTAAACACCATTTAAGGTGCTAAAATACTGTTTTCTGCTGGTCTCGCCAAGCAGCAAAGAAAATTCAAAATTTCTAAATCAAAAACCATTAGACAATGTCCATGATTACCTTAGGTACAGTACCTCTCTCAAGTTTTATGGCTGTGGGTGGGAAAAGTATAAGAAGGTGTCTTCTACCTCACTGAACATTTCGTTGCAAAATGTGAGAGTAGATTAGATTACAACCTAGATCTAAAGCACTTAAATACAAACATGTATATGACAGCAGGTTACAGCTCTGATTAAAATCATTATGGGAAGTTAATGAAGGAAGTGCTAAATAGACAGAACCAGTTTAATTCCTCCTGCAATGCCAGTGAGCAGGGTGGAATGACACCAGCAATGAAACTGGTCAATTAGGCTTCAAGATGAAAGAGAACTGGGAGCTGGAATGTGCGTATCATGCTGTTCAGAGATTTAGGGTGATTTTGCCAACAGTAAGCAAAAAAAGTTTCATCACTTTGGCAAGTTACATGTGCTTCAAATTTGGGCTGGTTGGTGATTATGACTTCATGTGTACTGTGTGCCTCAGACCCCCCAGGCAATCTGAAGCA